GGGGGGAAGAAGGGGGGAGCCGGGGGGGGGGGCTGCTGTTGGTCTCCTGGGCGGTAAAACGAACAACCGGCGACAACCGCGTCCCCCCAGGCCGGGGGGGGGGCGTTAGACGGATAAAGTAAATGACACCTCGGCGCCCCCAGACCCTTTCGCCGCTCCGGGCCCGGCAGCCGGAGGACACGGCATTGCCCTTGGTGCAGCCCCCCCACCGCTGCAAAGATGGAGCCTTGTCCTGAGGCACCCCTCGCCAGGGTACAACGGGGACAGGGGCTGCTGGGACTTGCCCCTCTCCTCTTTCCTAGGCAAGACTGAAGAGCGGCCGGGGCTGCATGATAAAGCTAAAGAAGGGAGCAAGAGGGAACAGTCTTCATGAGAGAGGCTCACATTTCTCTTAAATACCAGATGTGGCCAGGCTGACAGCGCATTGAAGCGTTTGCGGTATTGCATTGCTGATGCTTAGCGTAGCACAGTTGTTCACAAATACTAGAGTTAGTTGAATACATGGGAATTACATTTTTTTTTTAATGTCTGCCTAAATAGATTTTGGTCAGTGTTAATCGCCTAGCACACAAACCTTTAAAGGAACTGCCTGGTGGCAATGCATGTTTCCAAGGGCCAGGGAAAGAAAACTTGAGGTTTGTCTTCCTTCTCAGAGCAAAAGTGTCCCAAGACTAATTTTTGGGAAGGGGAAATGAAAGTTCATGCTAAAAATATTACGTTTAAGGCTGGGAAACAGAAAGAGAAAAAGCGTCCCAACAAAGATCCCAGCATGAAGCAGTTTCTAAGAGCTGGAGTTGTGCTGCAGGTGCTCTCCCTGCTTAGAAACAGTGAAAGCTGCTTTTAAAAGATGCTGTGTTTGGCTAATAGGTGGCATCTCCTTTAATGCTCTTCTCTGTACCGAGAATAAATAAGCCGCAGCTATTTTCACACTGCAAAACCTGGTGATCCTGGTGGTTGATATCATGGAAGCGGCACAGTGCTTCTTTCTACGCTAGATCCCTGTAAGTGGACAGAGGTGCAGAGGAAGGTGGCACTTGAGGCAGCAATGGTTGGGCCTGTGTCGCTGCCACCTTCCTCCGCAGGCAGAGCTGCCAGCACGGTGTGTGCCGAGGGATTCGACTGGTGGTTACTTTGGCTGGAGCCGAAGCCCCTTGGTGTGCCTTGGCGAGCAGACAGGTGTACGCAGTGCCCTTCCACTTGGGGAAGGCACACGTGACGCCTACACCAGCAGCTGTGGATGCTGTTCCAGAGACATGGGGAGCATGCGACAGCACGTTTTGGGGTGGTTCACATCTTTGTGTTCCAAGTAACCAATGGTTTACCCATTCTGCTACCAAGGATGCTTGAAGTGGGAACGTGCAGGCACAGGGAGAAGAGAAATAGGTGCAACCATGCCTTGGCCAAGCTCTGCGTGGCTGAACCATCCATGGCTGCAAAGCACAAAGTGTTGAGAAGGCCCCATAAGATCCCACACCGTGCATCGTCCCCTCAAAGGAGGGCTCGGAGCTTCTCACAGGAGAGGAGGGCTACCAAGAGTGCCCAACAGAACCAAAGGAGAACAAAACACAAGCGATGTTGTCAGGAAGAGGTAATAAATACGTCTATTCATGGAGAACAATGCAGCAGTGCAATGTTTTATTGAAAAAAAAAATTATCTCACTTGATACCTCAGAAGACTGCATCGCAACGTTGGTGGGCCACACTGTGGGAGAGCTACACTGGGGAGGCCAGCACCGCGCTGGGTGCCCCCTGCCGCGCTGGCCCGAGAGCCCTCCCCTCACGCCCCTGGGGTCTCCCAGCTGCTAACAAGTTCCGGCGAGGAGAGGAGAGTTTGCCCAGGTAGGCTTAATGCCCTGCTTCCTACCACAGCATGGCTGGCTCAGTCTGGCTTGTGTCTCCTAGTCACCTCCGAGCTCCCTGGGGACAGCAGTTTCCTCAAGCACAGGACTTGCTGTTAACCTGCTTTATTTTCCTTTTTTTTTTTAAAAAAAAAAGCCACCCCACATCTTTGCCCTTTTGAAGAGTCCAACGTACGATTATAGTGCAAGAGGGCTTGGTACAAGTGAGCATTACCAGCATGCCGTGGGGGGACAGTCCTCCCCTACAAACACATCATCGTAGGATTAAAAGAACATCGTATCTCCAGAGAGAAGTGGTAGTGGGTCACTGTGAAATAGCTTTCAAACCAACCCACTTAAAAACAAGGTCAGGAAAGTTTCTAAACAATCAAATACATTCACTTTAAAAAAAAACAAAAAAAGAACATTTAAGAACAAAAACTGTTGAGATGGCCCCTCTTCCCCCCCGCCCTCCCTCACCCTGCAAACACTTACATATGCTGCAACTACAAGCTGCTCCTTGACTGGAGGCAGCAAGGAATGACCAAACACGGCAGGAGATGCAGAAGGAATCGAGTTCTGGTGACAGGCACTTAGTGGGGCTTGGGAGGGCAGCAACAGAAGTGTCTCAGGGCCTGGCTCCATCTGCAGTCGGCAGGACCGCTCCCCGGGGAGCACCTATGCCCCTTTCCCCCCCTCCCAAGATGCCAAACCATGGTTTCCTACAGCAGAGGGGAACGCCTGTGCCAGAGACACCGGGCTTCTGGGAGCCACTGGCAGCGGAGGAGTTTGGAAAGAGAAGGGTGGAACGTGGCCATGGTCCCCATCCTCCCTCTGGCAGGAGGGGACGAGAGGGCGAAGCGCTTTGGCACATGCCTGCGGGAGGTGAGCGGTCCCCTTCCTGCCCCGGCCCATGGTACGGCTCCAGGAAAGCGCTTTGCAGAACAAGGAGGAGGGTGCACGTGAAGAGCTCCGTGCCTCCGAGCCACGCTCATTGGGATAAGGCATGGAGAGAACGCAGCGGAGAATAGCGAAAAGATGCCCTATGGGGATCCCAGCAAGGAAGCGAGGCTTTTCTGCCTTGGCACTGCACCAGCATCTGCCTGCTTTAGGGATGCACGAAGAGCAAGCCCAGAAGCTCCCTGCCCAGGATGATCTGCCCTCTAAGCCTGCTTCTACCCAGCCAGGGGAACCGAACCTCCTGTGAGTGCCGCCCCAAGCTATGCAGATCATCATTAAAAAAAATAAAAGATAATGAGATCTAGTCTCTCCCTTTCCTCCCTTCATGCTCTCTGGGATTTTTGGGGTGAGCCAGGCCCGAGTTTATGACAAGCAAAGTCCCTCAAGTGAACAGTCCCAGCCTGGTCAGGTGTCACACATGGAAAGACAAAGTACAAGGAACCTATTCACAACCTTCCCAAAAGCTGCTTGAGTTCTCCCACAGCCCTGCCACATGTACGGTAACCTCCGGGCAGCCTCGGCCTCCTCCAAGTTTGGAAAAGCTGCAGCAGGATGCAAGATTTTTTTTTTTTTTTTTTACATGTGTGCAAAGCACCCCAAGCCCTTTGCTAGCTATTGGTTTGGCTCAAAAGCGGTGCATGAGAACCGTGGCTTCTCCTGTGGGGTGGGATGGCGTCCCATGCGCCCCAGGCCCACGCTCGTAGAGAGGACATGAAGGCTATTCCAGTCAAACCTATCTGACCATCTGGAGATGAAATCAGTGTTAAGGCAGTGAAGTATCCTCTCCCCTGCTGGGAAAGCTTTGCTCCTGCTAATGTTTTCTCGCAGAAGGTACGTGTTCACAACCACCCTACCGGAGGGATGTGAGAAGGCTGCCCAGTTGCCCACACCAAGAAACGCCTATGCTTTGGAAAACAGCTGCCTCCCCGTTACCTTAGTCCAGATCTATCTCTTAAGCCAGTGCAAACTCCTCCAGCCCAGCAAAGCTGACGCTGCTCCCTCCTGCCAGTGCCGGGCTACAGCCTTATGTCTCCTGGCTGGCTGGGTCAGGCACGGTGTAGGAAACCATGGTAGGGACATTCACCGGCAGCTAGAAAGGATGACTGAAAATTCAAGTATGCTTTCCTCAGCACATGGCCCAAGGCGGGCGTCAGGAACCCCAGACTGGCATGAGGGTCATGCAGATGTCATCAACATCCCCACTCGAGGGCATTCTTTGCACCCCACCGTCTTCCCAGCTGAATGTCTGTCTACGCTGGCACCGCATGGCCACGCAGAGATCCACAGATACAATGTGCATCTGTAAACGCTAAAAATAATAAAAAGTGCAACGACGTCAGCTTCTTTAAAACAATCCACATTGCTCTGTTACCATCAGAGGAGGGAGGTGTCAAGGGAGCCGGAAAAAAAACCTAACTGGAACAGTAGATTGCAAATTTCTCACAGCTTGCACATTACAGTGTAACTGTTCCCAAGGAGCCGAAAAGGGAACCTGTCTCTTACTGCTGCAGCAGTCAGGCCCTTCTTCCACGCAACTCTCCTGCCCGCACTGCATCCTCCTGCCCTCTCTAGAGCCTACGGTATTTCTTTGCTTAATTAAGGAGGGAGGAGGACGGAGGAGCAGAGAGCGCAGGGGAGGGAGGGGAGGAAAGTGAGCAGGAACTAAGCACAGTCCTCAGGTTTGCGTGAACGATGCCTTCGCCGTAAACAATGGGAAGGAGGGTCAGCCAGCCAGCCCCCCTCCCAGGGCGACCAAGACCTGAGCCAGCCACAGTCCTGGTCCCAAAAGGAGCTTCAGGCTTGGAGTGAACAAGGGAGACCATTCAGCAGATCCACCCCAGAGTGGTTTGTTTTGGAACGTTTTCTTCTCTTTTTGGTTTAAAATGTCACTTTTTTTTTTTCCTCTCTTCCTCCTATGCCTCCTCCTCCCCCCTAAAGAGAAGCCCCTTCCAGTGAGACAGGGCAGGAGTTGCAGGCGTGGTGGTTCCTGCAAGGCCCAGGAGGCACTGGTCACTTGTGACGCTGAGCCGTCTTCTTCCGTTTCCTCTTAAAGAAGCAGCAGCACCTGTGGCACAAAGGACAAGGCAAGTTAGCCCTGCGCCTGGCACCCCAGGAAGGTCCCCCGCCAACCCAGGCTTCCCTCCGCTCAGCCGCATGCAACAGCACCTCTGTGCGCCCGGCCCGAGGCCCGGACAGACCTGCCGTCCCACGGGACAGTTGGCAAGGTCGGCAGATGCTGGTGGATGTTTGGCACCACCAGCCTGGACTGGTAGACCAGCAAAGGTAAGTAGCAACACGCTGGGGTTCCCGCCACCTGAAGGCTGCGGGTGACAGTGGGGCGGCGCAGCCCCTGAGTGCCAGGAGCCCTGCTCTCTCCCTCCTGAGAGGCTTGACTGGGGCAGGAACACAAGGAGCCATCTGTGAAACCAGTAAAACAAGGATCCAGATGCTCCGCTCCCTCTGTCCGAACCCCGGAGGAAGCGGACTGGGATGGCGAGCCCTGGCTGCTCTTCCCAGCTACGAGACACACTGTTTTCACCACCGTTCACTAAAAAGACAAGTTCCAAAGAGATCTCAGCTCAGGGACCAGGTTTCTTTACTGAACCTTTCATGATAACCAGAGCTTTCACCTTGCATAAATCATTCAGTGCCGATATGCAGAACCCCTGCTTCTTCCCCCATCCGATGCAAGGGAGGTGCACAGCGCCCGGGGATTAGGAGAAGCAAGAAGGATGGAGAGTGGAGGCTGAGGTGGGGAGAAAAACGCCCATCGCAGCTGAACCGTGAAGACCGGTGGTTTCACTTGTGGGATACACTGAAAGCAGTTGCCCAGGTTTTCTAGTCCTGCTGGCTTCCTACAGAATTACTTGGTGTTTAAGGCATATCTACCTTTCTATCCTCAGCCTGCTGTCAGGAATCCTCTGCACAGAAGAAAGGTGTTTGTTCTGTGCGAGTTCTGCTCCTGATCTACGTGTCTTTCTCCTTCTGCCGTTACAGCCATCTCCAGAGAAGCCTGGGTGATGCTGAAAGACTACTTTTTCAGGCTGGTGGAAGGGGTGCCTGGCTAAGCAGCAAGAGCAGATGTGATTATGCAAAGACCATTTTTTCCTACAAGCGTCTTTTACCAACAGCCAGACAAAAAGCATTCAAAAACACTGTAACAACAACTCCAAATTATCTTCTGTTGGGTCCTTCGTGGCTCTGAAATACCGGCATTATGCTTCTATCCTCTCAGAGCTGGAGGAACAGATTCATTCTCACTCACACCCCAGAAGATGCTTGCCCCTGGATGCACAAGCCTTACTACGGGGTGCAAAAGCAATGGGTGACCACCCCACCCACCCACCCACCCACCCTGTGAGCCAAGCCTGCCAGCACAGATCGTCTGCTGGGGAGACCGAAATCCCCTACAACATGGAGAACTCAAACAGCCACAGCAAGAGGAGGGCCGCCTCCCACCGCACATTCCTCTGGCCTACAATGGACTAATGGCCAGGGGAAGTTTAACGTCCACGGTATGTCTTTAGGTTCCTAAACAGGCCCAGTCTGGAGGTGAGCCAAGAGAAAATGCAAAGCACTTGTTCTTGCAGGAGCACGGGCTTAGAGCGACCTGTGACGACTCCATCACTACCCACCTAGCCTGATGTTTGCGGCATGCAGTCTGAAGCACCACCCAACCCAGCCTCCTGTGCATGGCTGGCACTCTCACCCCCCGGACTGGTCTTGCATTTTATTGTCCTGGGCCACCTGCCACCCTCTCCTGCTTTAACCTGTCACTGTATTTTTCTCCCACAGCAGCCACCTTCCTTCATGACTTGGGCAATGGTAAGGGGGGGGATGTTATGGGGAGAGAGGATGGAAAATGCATGAGTTACGATTTTGCA